GAATCCATCCGTTATACGTCAACATCTCGGTGGACATCTTCAGATTTGATTTGGAGAGAAATGATTGCAGGTGACGCCGAAAAGAGGAACTTTAGTCAACAGGACCACTAGTTATATGAAAATGGAGATTAACAGTGGATAAAAAAAAATGAAGTCATGAATCCATGACAACGAAGAGATCAAAGAACCGGACAGTTTTTTTTCTAAACTGTGCGGACACGGCTTCCTCTTTAATCAGACAAGTTGTTCAGAAAGTGCAGAACTGTTTTGGTCAACTATGAGAAATGTTTGTACATGTAGATATCAAACGACTATAAACCAGTTGGGGTAATATAATTTCTATGGAACAAGCTATTACGAAGAGCCTTTTTAAACAATGGGTCTTAGTCATATGGTCATTCTGGGTTGTGTGTTCCAGCATGGTTCCATGGATGTCCCATGGTTCCAACCTGTTTTCAAAAACATGACCAACTTGTTTTTACAGCTGTACAGTTTATTAGTGTGCTTCCTTTTAAGTTTGGTTAGGCCCATGGGAGCTGCAACATTTGGTTGCAACAGAGTCAACAATTGTCTTTTGCACTTCTTACTACTGTATTCTGAAAGAACTTTGAGTGGGTTTGATTCCCTTCCTCTTAATACGAGTACGACCGAGTACTTCGACGTCCCCATTAAATTACGGGGACCGGTAGCTAGTTCCCATGTAAAGCCACTGATTGGATAGCCTCTGCGCGTGCGCATTATTTTTTTTATTTTGAAAACGTTGTTCGCAGCTTGGTGCGTGGATGAACACATGGCTTTCCAAAAATCAAATTGACTCAAAAAGTCCTTTATACATATCAAACAAATCTTACTGTAGAAATGTTACTGTAGGAATCATCACATCCCTCGGTTTAGTAAAAAGTGACATTTTTGTAAGAGAATCATACTACAGAGAACTTTCAGGAACCATTGTAAAACATATAGTTGAGTGTTGCTAACATTCGTGTCAATTCCTGCCCTGGTGAGCAACTGTACTCCGTGATGTATACCGTCACGATTCTGCCGCTTATACACGAAGCAAGATGTATCTGCAATAAAAGAAATAATTGATCTAGTTTATTCAATAGGCATATTATATTATCGAAGAACAAACAAACTTTCGGATTGATGCAGATGGAGTAGATATGTCATAAAAAATGAGGTGCCCACTGCCCGAAGACGAAAATAAAAAATTGAGAAAGGAAAAAATATACATCTGTAACCCTTTTTTTCTAAATTACCTCAATAATTGGCGAAGACTTGCTCTGCAAGCAGGTCATCAGTCCTTCCGTCGGTCTTCCTCCCTGCTTCCGGTTCTTGGGATTCAGATCTAACTTCGTCCAGAATTACACCTCATCTCGTAGGACCTCATCTCTGCCAGATTAAAAGGAACACATGCAAGGCACTGTTTTGGGATAATTATGCGCAAGTTATGTTGCTGTTCTTAATTATCTGTTGACTTGAAAAAGAAAATAATCTAAATTAATTTTCTTGTAGATTTATCTTACTTTTCGTCGCAGAGCTGACAAACCGGCGAATCGACCATTTTGGCGATTTCGTTTTTTTGTCATTTTTAGGCTTTATGAAGGTTGCTCTTTCAAGTATTTATGCCAAAATTCTTAATATTTGTCTGGATTTTGAGATTCAGAGCCCCTCTTGTGGCGAATCACTCACAAAAACAAATCCACAATTTGACAAAGTGACGAATACGAAATTTCGCTGGTAACCAGCTTATGTAAGAGTGCGTTCCAAGTACCAACGAATGTTATTCGTCAGTTTGTCGGATTGCGCGTGCGTGCACGCGCGATCCGACAAACTGACGAATAGCATACAAACAGTGTGAAGAACAACCGGATATTGCAGATTAATGTAATTTGACAAACTGACGAATGCGTTAGCGATCAAATAAAACCATATCGCACAACTTCTCTGATTAAATAAGTGACCTGGTGGATACTTAGTTTTCATATTTTATTCAGAATATATACTAACAGTTTTTTTATCGAAACATTAAGGGTAAAATACGGCGCCCGGAGAAGTGTCCAACTTCAAAAGCGAATTACTCCAAACAAGGTTTTCGCTTATTCGTCGGTTTGTCAGCTCTGCGACGTTTTGTTGTAGGTATCAGTAATCGTATAGACTCCGAACAAGCATAGGAAGGGAAAGGAAAGGGGAAAGGAAAGGGGAAAGGAAAAAGCCAAAGCCAAAGCTTCAAAGTGCCAAAGAGCCAAAGCGATGCCAAAGCCAAAGCGCCAAAGCCAAAGCACTAAAGCCAAAGCCAAAGCGCCAAAGCCAAAGCCAAAGCCAATGTCAAAGCCAAAGCGCCAAAACCAATGCCAAAGTCAAAGCCAAAGCCAAAGCCAAAGCGCCAAAGCCAAAGCCAAAGCGCCAAAGCAAATCCCAAGCGCCAAAGCCAAAGCCAAAGCGCCAAAGCCAAAGCGCCAAAGCCAAAGCGCCACGGCCAAAGCGCCAAAGCCACAGCCAATGCCAAAGCCAAAGCCAAAGCCAAAGCGCCAAAGCCCAAGCCAAAGCGCCAAGCCAAAGCGCCAAAGCCAAAGCCAAAGTGCCCAAGCCAAAGCGCCAAAGCCAAAGTGCCCAAGCCAAAGCGCCAAAGCCAAAGCGCCAAAGCCAAAGCCAAAGCCAAACTGCCACAGCCAAACCGCCAAAGCCAAAGCCAAAGCGCCAAAGCCAAAGCCAAATCCAAAGCGCCAAAGCCAAAGCGCCAAAGCCAAAGCGCCAAAGCCAAAGCGCCAAAGCCAAACTGCCAAAGCCAAAGCGCCAAAGCCAAAGCCAAAGCCAAAGCCAGAGCCAAAGCCAAAGCCAAAGCCAAAGCGCCAAAGCCAAAGCCAAAGCGCCCAAGCCAAAGCGCCAAAGCGCAAAGCCAAGCGCCAAAGCCAAAGCGCCAAAGCCAAAGCGCCAAAGCCAAAGCGCCAAAGCCAAAGCCAAAGCGCCAAAGCCAAACGCCAAAGCCAAAGCGCCAAGCAAACCGCCAAAGTCAAACCACCAAAGCCAAAGCGCCAAAGCCAATCGCCAAAGCCAAAGACAAAGTGCCCAGCCAAAGCGCCAAAGCGCCAAGCAAAAGCACCAAAGCCAAAGCCAAAGTGCCAAAGCCAAACCGCCAAGCCAAAGCGCCAAAGCCAAATCGCCAACGCCAAAGCCAAAGCCAAAGCCAAGCGCAAAGCAAACCGCCAAACGCCAAAGCCAAAGTCAAGCCCAGCGCCAAAGCGCCAAAAAAAAAGCGCCAAAGCCAAAGCGCCAAAGCCAAAGCGCCAAAGCCAAAGCCAAAGCCAAAGCCAAGCAAAGCCAAAGCCAAAGCGCCAAAGCCAAAGCCAAAGCGCCAAAGCAAAGCCAAAGTTCCCAAGCCAAAGCGCCAAAGCCAAAGCGCCAAAGCCAAAGCGCCAAAGCCAACCGCCAAAGCCAAACCGCCAAAGCCAAAGCGCCAAAGCCAAAGTCAAAGCCAAAC